GAGACCCCAGGGTTCTATCCGAATGCCTAGAAGGCAGGATTCTGGGCTCACCGGATCCTAACACCCGATTATCCGTGATTCTGGGAGACCCAACTTATAGGAGTTGATGAATCCCAAGATTCCAATGTTCTGTACTTCTCTGTATCAAAAATTGTCTGGGATTTCTAAATTACCTGTATGAGATCTATCTATCTGTATGAGCACTAAAATGTAAGATCTCTGTTATTATATCTCTCCCCGTTATTATGGGGATAATAAGGCTGGAATCTCATCAGTCTATAGCTCTGAGCCTTTTAGACTGTCAGCCTATAGGATTCAAATAATTTTTGGACTCAGTTTACTATTTGAGATACACAGGTACACTAGTTGGGATACTGTGACCCGAAGGTTATGGGCCGTCCTCTCTGTATTCGATGAGCCTGGAATATCAGAATGTGCTCTTCTGGGGCTGAGGTGGGCAGGACAGCTACGGAGCACGTGTGGCCAGCCCACACAGTGAGATGCCATAGTGCACCTGCTGGATGTGGAAGGCTCAGGACCAATCAGAGAGGAGGTGTCATTCACAACTACCTCAAAATGATGGCGATGGCACGTCAGGTCAATTTGTATTTGTTTCTCTCTCCCCCCCTTTTTTTTCCACTAGAAAACTTGAAGCTACACCTGGGGCTGGTGTTAGATTTCCACGGGGCGGAGCCGATGCCTGCCAAGATTCTAGAAGCCGCCGGGGTGGAGCATGGGATTTCACGGAGCCGGGATTTTAGAATCTCACGGTTCCGGATCAGTTTTGAGTCTTAGACTCGTAGATTTTAGAGCCAGATGCTTTGTCATTGCAAGGTGTCAGAATTCCTGCCTGCCTCTGCCCCTCACCGAGGAGCCCCCTCCCCAAATCCCCAGCCCCCACGCCCAACCCCGGCCCCCGGGGCACTCACGGCTTGCGGCAGTGGGCAGCTGTGAGCAGCCAGCGGTCGTGGATGAGGGTGGCCCCGCAGAAGAGGTGGGTGCGGTAAAAGAGGCCCACCTGCCAGGGCTGCGAGTTGGGGCGACACTCCTCGGCCCCTATAGTGCGGGTGTCTGCCCAGCCGTGCCCTGGGGTCAGGTGAAGGCAGAGTGGTCAGTTCCAAGCAGGCTGGGAGGGCCGGGGGCATGGGGCGGGGGCGGGAGCAGGGGCTCACCTGCCAGGAGAGAGAGCAGAGCCCAGATGTATCCCAGCCTCATGACCTCTGGGCACCCGGGTCCGTGGGCCCGCGCTGGGTGCCCCGGCTTCTTTATGGTAAGCCATGCCTGCTCCTTCCTCCTCCCCGGGACCGCCCCTGCCATTACTCAAGCCTAGACAATGTCCCCCGGGGGCGGTGACAGGGGCCTGGGGAGGTGGGAGCAGGGGGACCCCCCAGCGGGGAGGAGTCCCCGTGGGGGTGAGCTGGCTGGCTGGGCTAGAGCTTGTCTACACCGCTGGCGTGGTGCTGGGGTGTAGATAGGCTGTGGGGGCCTCCCCTGGGGCTTTCAGAGTGGGGTGTCCCCATTCAGGGTCAGGAGGACCTGAATCCAGGGTCTCATGGCCTGGGGTGGGAGGAGAAGAGGAGGAGGGGGAGGGGAAGGGACCAGCAGAAGCCCAGACAGGCACACAGAGCCTGCACACATCTGCCCTGGGGCTTGGGGCCCCTCCCACCCCCTCCCCACCAGGACAGAGGCTTCTCCCAGAACTCTGGCCCCCTGGGGATTATGGGGATTAACCTGCTCCTGTCACCACCCGCCCCTTCCTGCAGCCCCACCGCCCCAGGGATGCAGGTGCCCGACTCCTTCTTAATGCCAAATCCTGGGGAGGCTCCGGTTCTTCCCCCCTGCTCCCCCCACCCCCACCCTGAGCAGCATCTCTCGCCCCAGCTCTCATCCTCTCTGGGTGGGCAGCGCCTGGAAGGCTGGGCCCCAGCCCTGACTCATCTCTGTGCCGCCGGCATCACCCAGTTCTGACCGGAGATGCTAATGGAATGAGTGAACGTCTTTCTCCATATCATTCTCTGCCTGGTGGACTCTTACTCATCCTTCAAGACCCAACCTGAATGCCCCCCCTTCCAGGAAGCCTGCTCTGATTTCTCCAGGTGGTGTCCCTCTTTGACCCCACCGCCCAGCACTCACAGCCCCTTCCACGTTCGGCTGCTGTGTCTCAAGCTGGATGTCCCACCCTGCTTCACGGCGGTGTCGTGGCCCGGAGCACGGACCATGGACCCGGTCTCTTCCCTGTCCAGACCCCAGGGCTGGCAATGGTTAGGTGTACCTTGGGCTATACAGCGAAATCCACCAGGATTGCAGGGGGCATGAATGTGAAGACTGGGCATCTGCCCGCCTCCTGCAGCAGCCCCTGTGCCACCTGCTAACACGCCTGGGAAGGCAGCAGAGGATGGCCCAGGTGCTTGGGTCCCTGCACCCATGTGGGAGACCCGGATGGAGTTCCAAGCTCCTGGCTTCAGCCTGGCTCAGCCCTGGCTTTTGTGGGCATTGGGGGAACAAACTAGTGACTGGGAGATCTCTCCCCCCGTCTCTCTAACTCTGCCTTTCAAAGAAATAAATCTGAAAAATGCAGAGCAATTTAATAGCTACCTTTATTGGCTATTTTTTTTTTTCTGGTGTTAGGTAAGCGGTTCATGTGTATTATCGGCTGGAGTTCACCAGGGATGCATTTTCTCCTCTACCTGATGAGCCCCTACTTGGCTAACACGTCGCCCGGGACGCCCGGCGGGGCACCGTCTGATCAGCGGGTGTTCCCTGTCCACTCCCCGTGCGTGAGTGGCTTCCGCCTGCCAGGCGCTGTAGCAGGTGCCCGGAAGCCGCAGTGGACAAGCTGAGCCCCGGCTCTCTCGGGGTTTTGTGGGTGGGGAGGGGGCACAGGCGCCTGAGACAACTTCAGCTATGACCAGGGCTGCAGAAGCAGTGGCCTGGGGCCAGGCGATTGTGGGCTGCGATGCGGGCAGCCCACGTGAGCACCGGTTTGAGTCCCAGCCGCTCCGCCTCCAATCTAGCTCCCTGCCAGTGCACCCAGGAAAGCAGTGGGAGATGGGCTGAGTGCTTGGGCCCCTGCACCCACGTGGGGGACTCAAATGGCGCCCCAGGCCCCTGGCTTTGTCCTGTCCCAGCCCTGGCCATTGCAGCCATTTGGGGAGTGAACCAGCAGATGGAAGACCTCTCTCTCCCTCTCTCCCTGCTTATCAATAAATGAATCTTTTTTTTTTTTTAAGAAATAAACAGAGTAATGGGTCTGGTGACCACAAATGGATTTGCTTAGCAGTTGCAATCCAGGAAGGCTTCCTGGAGGAAGTGACTTTGGAGTGGAGGCCTGAATGACAAGCATGTACGACTTGCCTCTCTCCCTGACCTGAGTGGCAGCTCCTCGAGGGTAGGGCTCGGTTTGAATCATCTTTGCTTCTGAGCCTGCCTGACAAACCCAGATGATGCGCCTGATTGACATTTCCTGGGTGTGTGAACGGGGGCGGGACGGGGCGTGGTCTGCCGAAGAGGCCGTGGGCCAGACGACGTGCTCAGATCACGGACTCCAACCTTGTGTGGGCTCTGCGGTGACAGGCGTCTTGCCACGATCACCAGTGTGTCCCCGTCACCCATCGGGGAGCCAGGTGCATAACGCGTGGGTTTGAAAGGGGAGACAAAACCGATGCCCACGCTCAGGTTAGGCTACAGCGCCGGGGGCCAGGTGGAGCTGAGGCCCCAGACGCCTGTCAGCTCTGCGTGGGTGCTGTGTGGGAGCCCCCACCGCCACCGCGTCACCCCAGGACAGAACCAGTGCAGAGACAGCTCCTCCGTTTGCAGGACGGAAGCTTCCCCTGTAGGTTCCATGAGACATCTGGACAGCACCGTGGCATCGCCGTGGGGGTGGGGGTGGGGGGGTGGGCTCCCACCTCCACGCAGCCGGAGGTCCCCGGAGTCCCAGAGGCCCCACGACTCCAAGCCGGTCCAGCTCGCACCAGGACAGCAGGACCTGGTGTTGGATGGGTCTAGAAGTGGGACCTTGGCCAAGAAGGAAGTGGCCACAGGAACTTCCTGGGAGCTGGGAGGAGGGTGGGCGGGGAGCCCAGTTTTCCCATCAGCCCTGAGACGTGGAGGCGGAGGGGTGTGTGCGTGTGCTCTGCCCCTGCTGTGTGACAACAGGTGACAGCAGGTGCCGTCGCCAGCCCGCTGGGTCACGGCTCACCTGGTAACTCCCATACAGACACACGCGCGCACACACACACACACACACACACATGTTAGGCACCGTCGGGTGTGAGAGGTAGGTGTTTCATTGCCCCATCTTGGAGGCGAGAGCGCTGAGGTTGGAGAAGGCTTGTTGGGGGTCACACTGCAGGCAGCGCAGGCAGCGGCACAAAGAGGCAGGCTGGGCCCTCGCTTCCCCGCCCAGGGTTTGGGACAGACAGGGAAGGGGAGGGCAGGGGCGTCCACCGGGGCAGCAGGGTTGGGGCAGGGCTCTCCGGGTCAGCCGGAGAGGATGGTTTTCCGGATCCAGGGCAGGTACTTGCAGATCTGGGTGTAGACAGCTGGGTGCTGGGCAGAGCCGCAGGGGTACACGCCCCAGGACAGGACACCCTGCAGGGTCTCACCGCACACCAGGGGGCCGCCCGAGTCGCTCTGGCGGAGGGGGGGGAGAGGGAGGAGAGAGCCAGTGAGCGGCCCCACCCCCGACGTGGGAGCGGCCACTTCAGGGCAGCGATGGGTTTGGGGGCCGGAGTGAGGAGGAGGCTGGCACCGGGTGGGGGAGGGGGCGGGGGATGGGGAGGAGCTTAGGAGGGGCTGGGCGAGGGGACTGGGGTTGAAGGTGAGGACGAGGAGGGGTCAGGCCTGGGGAGGGGCGGGGCCCACCTGGCAGGGGTCCTGGCCCTGGTCCATTCCCGCACACACCATGTTGCTGGTGACCACGCCCGGGTAGAAGATCTCACATTCTTGGGGGCTCAGGAGCGTGACCCTGGAGCAGCTGAGACTCCTGTTGTATTTCACTGATGAGAGAACGGGCAGGTGACACGCGGTCTAGCCCGGGCGCACCCCGCAGACCCAGCCCCCTCCCGCCCGAGGGCCCCCGCCCCCTGCTCTTGCCTCTGCGGGAGGCCGTGGTGCCCCAGCCGGCGACCTGGCACTGGTCCCCGGGCTCGGCGCAGCGGTAGGGCAGCCGCAGGGTCTGCACGCCGGGCCCCAGCACGGCCGCCCGCGCCAGCCTTCAGCAGCATGAGGTCGTGCTCATCCGTCCGCCTGGGCAGGATGGGGCCTGAGCCCCCGCGGTATTTGGGGTGCACGACGGCGCGCGTGGTCCGCCGCAGCTGCTCGCCCTGCAGGAGCAGCAGGTGGTCGTCCCCGATTCGGGCCCACAATGGCCTGCAGGGGGCGGAGGAGAGCAAAGCCTCATGGGGGGGGAGCTGGGGAGGAAAGTGCAGTCCGCGGGGGAGGGGCCTGAGGGAGGAGGGGCTGGGGCTGGACCCCTGGGTCTGAGGGAGGAGGCGCTGGGGGCCTGGACCCCGGGCTGTGAGAGAAGAGGGGCTGGGCCTGGACCCCTGGGTCTGAGGGAGGAGGGGCTGGGGCTGGACCCCTGGGTCTGAGGGAGGAGGGGCTGGGGCTGGACCCCCGGGTGTGAGAGAAGAGGGGCTGGGGGCCTGGACCCCTGGGTCTGAGGGAGAAGGCGCTGGGGGCCTGGACCCCGGCTGTGAGAGAAGAGGGGCTGGGCCTGGACCCCTGGGTCTGAGGGAGGAGGGGCTGGGGCTGGACCCCCCGGGTGTGAGAGAAGAGGGGCTGGGGCTGGACCCCTAGGTCTGAGGGAGGAGGGGGCTGGGGCTGGACCCCTGGGTGTGAGAGAAGAGGGGCTGGGGCTGGACCCCTGGGTCTGAGGGAGGAGGGGCTGGGGCTGGACCCCCGGGTCTGAGGGAAAAGGCGTGTGTGAGAACCTGGGTGTGAGAGAAGAGGGGCTGGGGGCCTGGACCCCGGGTGTGAGAGAAGAGGGGCTGGGGCTGGACCCCTGGGTCTGAGGGAGGAGGGGCTGGGGGCCTGGACCCCTGGGTCTGAGGGAGGAGGGGCTGGGGGCCTGGACCCCTGGGTCTGAGAGAGGAGGTGCTGGGGCTGGACCCCTGGTCTGAGGGAGGAGGGGCTGGGCCTGGACCCCTAGGTCTGAGGGAGGAGGGGCTGGGGCTGGACCCCTGGTCTGAGGGAGGAGGGGCTGGGCCTGGACCCCTAGGTCTGAGGGAGGAGGGGCTGGGCCTGGACCCCTGGGTCTGAGAGAGGAAGTGCTGGGGCTGGACCCCGGGTCTGAGGGAGGAGGGGCTGGGCCTGGACCCCTGGGTCTGAGAGAGGAAGTGCTGGGGCTGGACCCCTGGGTCTGAGGGAGGAGGGGCTGGACCCCTGGGTCTGAGGGAGGAGGGGCTGGGGGCCTGGACCCCTGGGTCTGAGAGAGGAGGTGCTGGGGCTGGACCCCTGGTCTGAGGGAGGAGGGGCTGGGCCTGGACCCCTAGGTCTGAGGGAGGAGGGGCTGGGGCTGGACCCCTGGGTCTGAGAGAGGAGGCGCTGGGGCTGGACCCCTGGACTCAGGGAAGATAATGGGGTGTTTTTCTCCTGGATTCTCAGGGAGTGGGGCTGGGGTCCCGACTCCTGGGTAGGCCTGCCCCTTCCTTTCTCTACAAGGACAGCTAGTCCTTCCTTCCCCAGTGGGGACTCGCGAGGTGAACCTTTTAGTTGCCAATTCCGGAAACCCAAGGAGAAACCCCTGGCCCCCAGAGAAGGGCCGCAGCGCCGCCTGGCGGCCGCGGCGCAATACCTACTCCCCCCCCACCCCCCCACCCCGCGCGCACAGAGGAAGCCCTCCCCAGGCCGATCCCACCTCCAGGCCGGGGCTGCCCATTGCCCTGGCCCCGCCCGCCCCTCCAGGCCGCTCCCCCGGCTGCCCCTACGTCTTGTCGCCGCAGTGCGCGGCCGTGAGCACCCAGCTCTGGTCCACCAGGACGCCGGCGCAGTGGAACGCGAGCCCGTGGAAGAGGGACACCTGCCAGGGCTGCGAGCGGCGCGGGCAGCGGGCGCCCGAGGCCGCGCGGTCCGAGCCCGTGTCGTTCCCCGGGAGCAGCGCCTGCGCGGCTGGGGAGAGAGGGGGCCGCGGGTCAGAGCAGGCCCGGCCTGGGCGAGGCTGGGCGCGGGCCGGGACTGCGGGGGTCGCGGCCAGAGCGCGAGGGAGGGCGGGTCCCGGGGGTCGAGTGTGTTTGTCGAATGGGAGGAAAAGCAGGGGCGTGAAAGTGCAAGGCGCGGGGCCGCGGCGGAGGCAGGGGCCGGAGCAGGGCGGGTGCGCAGGGGCGAGGGCCGGACGCCGCGCCCGCCCGGGGGACCCGAGTCCCGCCGCAGCCGGGCGGGGCCGTGAGGGCGCGGAGCTGGAGCGCGCGGGGCGGGGATAGAACGCGGCGGAGTGACGAGGGGCGGGGATAGAACGCGGCGGAGTGACAGGGGGCGGGGATAGAACGCAGCGGAGTGGCAGGGGGCGGGGATAGAACGCGGCGGAGTGACAGGGGGGCGGGGATAGAACGCAGCGGAGTGACAAGGGGGGCGGGAATAGAACGCGGCGGAGTGACGGGGCGGGGATAGAACGGAGGGGTGCGAATAAGGGGTGGGAATAAGACAACGTGATAGGGCCAGAGGCAAGACGGAGAAAAAGGGGTACAGCTAAGAGGGGGCGCGTGCAGCTCCGGGCGCGGTAGGGCGAGGGGAGCAGGGTCCCAGGCGGTACAGAGAGGCAGGGGTCTGCGTGGGGCGGGCGCTCTGGGGCCCAGCTTCCGTGCGGGTACGCCCCTGCTCCCGGACGCTGCTCGCACGCTGCAGACCCAAGGCGGGGTGTGGGGGTGGGAGCGGGGAGCGGGGTTGGTGACGCCACTCGCTGCCCCTCTCTCCGGTCCCGGTGCCTCCCGCCGGCCCGGCTCCAGCCTCACCCCAAAATTGCGCCATCAGTAGCGGCAGCAGCAGCTTTCCCAAGGCCCGGGCGCCGGAGGCGGCGGAGAGGTGCAGGTGACAGGATCTCATGGCTGGGACCTGTGCTGGGGGCCGGTGGTGGGTTAAATCAGAGACCCTCCCCCCCACCGCCAACCATGCCGGTCTGCCCAGCCCGGGACCCGAGAGCCCGCTGGGACCGGTTTAACTTGCAGTCAACAACCGCAAGGGCGGGCGCTTCGTGCTGGAGGCCGCGATGGGTGCGATTACCCTAATGAGGTCCCTGGAGGCTTCCTCCCGTGCGCCCCACGTCGAGAGCAGCGGCCCCCAGGCCCAGCCCCGCCGGCTGCCGGCGCGGCTTTCACCTTCTTCTGCAGGTGCCCTGGGGGTCGGCCCGAGGCTCGGGGAGCCAAGCCTCTTTTAGCACCTCACCCCCACCCCCGGGGGGCTGCTCGCAGGTGAGGAGCCCGAGGCCCAAGGCACGGGGGTCCCCACCCGTCCTCTCGCGACCCGCTCCAGCCAGGGTGGGGGCAACCCTCCTCACCTGAGAGTCGCGGATGGGAAGGAAGGAGGGGACCCCGAAGCGCCTCTGCCCTGCCTCTCTGGCCGCCAGAGTCCTCTGCCCGGGGACCCCTGGCCAGACTTCCTTTTTAACCCCCAAGTTCCCGGAAGCTCCCCCACCCTGCCCCCGAGGGCTCCCCTCCCTCCTTTTCCCTCTCTCTAATTAAACCGAGGGTGGGGCTGGCGCTCGACCTGGGCCCCAGATTCCTGCCCTGGGAGGGGCCCTGGAATACAGACTTCTTTCTCCGAGTGCCTCAGACACCCGGTTGGGGAACCTTCGCAGGTGTGTGTGTGGGAGAGGGCACGGTGGCCCCAGGGAGCCCAGCGGTGGGCGGTTGTGACAGCGTTGGAGACAGGAAATACACACGCAGGGAAGTACATTCCTAGGGTGCCGTGGGAAGAGTGAACAACTGGGAGGGAGGGGGGAGAGGAGTTAGGGAAGGGGCTTAGAGACGCGGGAGACTGGGACAAACCGAGCCTTAAAGGGCTGGAGAGGGGGAGAGGCGGAGTTATGGGGGCAGCGTGAGCTCAGTGGCTTGGCTGCCCCACCGCCGGCCGCAGGAGCGATGGGCGCCCCGTGTGTCCCAGGGACTGGCCCATACGCGTGTGCTGTGTGTGTCTGGGGGGAGGCTGTGGCTTCATGTCTCGCCCAGCCCCCTCCAGCTGTGTGCTTGTCTCCAGGTGAGACACAGGCCCTGGGAGGCTAGGGCTGCCAAGGGGCCGCGGCGTCACCTCCGTGGCCAACTCCCGAGTTCCCGGTGAGGTCACCCAGCCAAGTCTGCCTGACCACCGGAGGCCACCTCTCTGCAAGGCGCGCAGAAGACAGAAGAGACCCCGAATTCCGGGCTGCCCGTGGAGCGACTTCCACTGTGAGAACTGAGCCAGTGGCACAGGCTGTCCCTTGATGCTTTCTGGAAGCATCCGTGGGTGGTGTCGGGCACAGCAGCCGCCAGCCCTGTGTGGCTACCAAGCCCTTGACACATGGCAATTGTAGTTAATGTAATTTGAATTTAAACGGCCACTTCAGCCTTCATCAAGGCAGTGCCAAGAGGTCACGTGGGCGCTTGGTGCGGTGATGAAGCCGCCACTTGGGACGTCCTCATCCTATCCTGGCTCAAGGTGGCTGCTCTGCTTCTGCTCCAGTTTCCTGCTAGTGTGCACCTGGCGGGCTCAGACACTTGGGTCCCTGCTACTCACAAGGGAGATCCAGACTGAGTTACGGGCTCCTGGCTCCTGTCTGCTCCTTCCTCAGCTGTTTTGGGTATTTGTGGGGGGAGTGAACCGGCAGGTGGAAGGAGATCTCTCTCCATCTGTCTCTCTGCCTTTCAAGTAAAATGAAAATGAATAAATGGGAGCGTTTAAAAATATTTCTAAAAAAGAAGTCACACGGCTTCAGATCTGTGCTCTCCCACCTACTGCCTATGTGCCCATTTCTGTGAGCCTCAGTTTTCTCAGCTGTTAAATGGGTGTAATGACGGCGCTTCATGAGGATCAGCTCAGCCGATACAGTTAAAATCCCTTGGACCAGGCACGCAGTAAGCACCCGGTGGGCTTGTCTGTTGAGCAGGTCTTTATTGACATCGTGGCAGATGCAAGAACCAGCCTCCAACAGTCACAGGGGAGTCCAGGCCAGGGTTTGAGCTCATTTCCCGCTGATTCCGGGAACTGAACGATGACGAAGCGGCTTCTAAGTCAAGGACGGCTCTAGGGGTCCCGGCTTAGCACTTCTCGTGGGGAGAATGAACGCAGGTCAGACGCTCAAGCCGAGGCCCTAATTGTTCTCCATGGTCTCCTGGATCCAGTCCACGTATCTGCAGACTTTTGTGTAGACGCCTGGCTTTCTGGTGACGGCACAGGGGTCCTGGCCCCAGGAGATAATGCCTTGAAGAGACCCGTTGCATACCAGGGGGCCCCCTGAGTCGCCCTGGGCAGGAGGAGAGGGAGAACCATTCAGAGACCAGCGGAGAGGGGAGCAGAGGCTCAGACCAGCTCGGCGACGAGGTTGGGGTTGCGGTGGGACCTGGGTGGGGACGGGGCTCAGGGGGAGGGGCCCAGGCCCCGCCCTCTGACCTGGCAGGAGTCCTTGCCGCCTTCCTCTACGCTGGCACACAGCATGGTGTCGGTGATGTTGCCTGGGTAGGCGCTCTCGCATTCACTGTGCTCGATGATGGAGATGTTGGCGCATCGCAAGGTGTGGGGCAGGCGCACTGCGGAGGCGCAGGAGGCAGAGTGGGCAGGGGGCCCCCCACCACAGCCCCTGCCTTGGGGGACCCCCTTCCCGCCCCGGCCCTGCCTGCAGCCCACCTATTCCACTGCTCATCTGCAGAGCTACTGAAATAAAACCTTGGTGCCCGCTGCTCTGTAGCTATGATCTCCCACCCAGCAGGGTAAGAGGGTGGGGCTCTGCTCACATTATAGGGGGAGGGAACCAGGGGCAGGAAGGGCTGGCCACTTGCCCAAGTTCCCACGGCTCCATTGATGGGTCTGATTCTGAGACCCACACTCTGGTCTCCACCCTCCCAGGCCCCCCGACTTCTCGCTCTGCCTGTCAGCGAACCCCACTTCTGACACCCCGGGGACCTCCCCCGGCCCCACCCCGAAGCCCACCCTGGAAGACTCCTCTGGCCTCCCTGGCCTCCCACGGCCGTGACCGCCCCTCCCCCGCCTCGGCCCCCACTGCAGCCCCTACACTGGGGGCTGGACGTGGTGCCCCAGCCAGAAATGAGGCAGCGGGTGCCAGCTGTGACGCAGTGTCTGGAGAGGGTGAGGGGCCGCACGGCGCGGGTGACAAAGGCCGGGCTGGCCATCTTCACCAGCATGATGTCGTCGCGGTGGTCCTTGTTGGGGAGGCTGTTGTTGAAGCCGGGGTGCGGGAAGGACTCCGTGGCCGTCCGGGTCTGCTCACAGCCATCCGGGCGCTGCAGGTTGTGCTCGCCCAGGTGCACCAGGTAGCGGCTGAGGTGGGAGAGGCGGCGGTCAGTGGGGGAAAGAGAGGGGGAGACGCGGGCGGGGGCGGGGAGGGAGAGAGCTCCCCTCCAGCCTCACTGCGGCTCCCACTGAAGCCTCTTCCAACCCCATCCCGGTTCCAATGGCAGCTGTCTCTCTCTCTGCTGGCCCAACCCACCCCTACCCTGTCCCTGCACAATTCTCCCTGTCCCAAGACCCTCTCGATCCAGCTGCCCAGCCCCGCCCAGCCCCACCCCCCCCATTCCTGTCCCCAGACCCTCTCCACCCAGCTCTCAGCCCCGCCCCCACTTCCTGTCCCCAGACCTGCTCCATCCAGCTCTCAGCCCTGCCCCCGCCCAGCCCCACCCCCCCCAATTCCTGTCCTCAGACCCTCTCGTCCAGCTGCCCAGCCCCGCCCCGCCCCCGCACCCACGGCTTGTGGCAGTGGGCGGCGGTCAGGAGCCATCTGGGGGCGATGAGGGTTGCCCCACAGAGCAGCCGCGTCTTCTGGAACAGGGCCGCCTGCCAGGGCTGGGAATGCGGGGGGCACTCGTAGCCCTTGATGATCCGGGTCTCTGCCACTGCGTGCCCTGCAGGGGTGGGGGCAAAAGAGGGGGCTCAGCCCTGACACGGGGGGCGGGTAGGGGGCTGGGCGGGGCCCTGGCTTGGTGGCCACAGCCAAGCGCTCTCTGTGGGTGGGCAGACGCTGCCCAGGGCTCCTCCAGCACCCCCTGCCCTTGCTAGCTCCCCCTCACCGCCTCTCCCCTAGGACCCCCCCCCCCCCCCGCGCCAGGAGGGCGGGCCAGCCCCCACTGTACCTGTCACCAGAGCCAGGGTGATGAGTGGCAGAATCATGGCCTGGGGGGGGGGGGAAGGGCAGGCTGCAGGTTCCCCTGGGAACAGGAGGGAGGCAGGGGCCAAGTCACTTCTCCGATCTCCTCCCACCCCTGGGGAGACCAGCTTTGTGGACCTCCCCCTGGTTCTCCAAGACCCCAACCCCAGACTCTTAAATTTTCAGCATTGAGAGGAGACGGTGGCCTTGGCCGGGGCCTCATCACAGATAGAAGCTTCCAGAACGCTGGGGAGGGACTTTGTGGGGGCAAGCCCTGGGGCTCCTGGGCACGTTTTTAGGGAACCTCTTCCCCCTGGCCCACCTGAGCCCTGGCGTGGCTCTGGCAGGTGGGCCGGCCCCCTGTGCTGGGTTCCTGGTCCCACCAGCAGGGTGGGACGTGGTCTTGGAGGTCTGCCTGAGGCTGGGTTGTTGGTGGTGGGGCACAGCCTGGATCAGCTCTTTCCACCACACCCCCAACCTTGCCAAACCCCTGTCTCTTTGAAGAACAGCTGGGCGTGGCTAAGCAAAGGCAGGACCAGTGCCCTCAGCCGGCCCGGCTGGCAGGGGTGGGGGCGGAACCTGGACTCCGTGACCGAAGCTGGGGTCAACAGTGGTCAGGGCTGGGGGCGGCGGGAGGTGGGAGCAGCAGAGAACCCCCCACCCCAGCAGAGGACAGAGCCGAGGCGGGACTGGCACCCTAGGGACCACAGATGCCTGGAAGGGGCAGGGGTCTCTCTGTCCCTCCCGGACTCACAGGCTCTGGGCTGGTGGCGGCTGCAGCCAGGCTGGGTCGCAGAGCCAAGCAGGCAGGCAGGGGGTGGCCCTGGGCGGGCGCAGGCTGACTGGCCTCCAAGCCCTGCCTTCTTGCCCTGGGGTCGGGGTACGTGGGGCGGGGGGCCCTGGGCAGCCAGGCCTGGGCCTCCTCTGTCGCCTCTCTCTCTACGCCTCTGGTGGTCAGTGGGCAGCCCGCCCTCTGGGTCTGTGTGGTGGTCCCGGTTCTCCTTCTGGGTCCAGTCCCCCCATCCCCCTCTGTTCTCCGTCTCTCTGCAAGCCCCCTGCCCCAGCCCCTGGCATGTTTGTGTCTCCCTGACTCTCTGGATCCCGGCCCCTCCATCTCTGTCTCTCCTCCTGGCCCTGCCCCGCCCTCCCTTCAGCCCCCAGCCCAGGTGGCCCCAGCCCCTCCCTTCCCGGGAGTGGGGCTGGGAGGGGGCCGGGACCCCACGGAGGGAGAAGAGGCAGGGCCCAGGCGAAGGGGGGAGAGGCAGGTCGGGGCCTGCGGGAGCCCAGGCCCGGGAGAGGGAACTGAACCCTCAGCTTGCGGCCCGGGGGCCCAGACCCCTCGTGGCCTCGATTCCCTGCCGTCCCCCGCCTCCTGCCCTCGGCCCGCCGCCCCCTCCCCGCATCCCGGGACAGGTCTGAGAGCAGCCGCAGCACTTACTCGGCGCTGTGTGGCCCCGGCCTCTGAGCCGCCGCAGGTCCCGCCCGTGCAAGCCCGTCTCTCCCCTGGCGGATGCGGATGTGGAGCGAGGCGGGCTGGGCCGAGGCTCTGACGGCGCGGCAGCCGGCCCTGGCCTCAAACCCGGGCTCTGCCTCTTCCTCGCAGGATGACGTGGGACGAGGGACTCCGCCCCAGGAGGCTCAGTTTCTTTCTGTGCAGCCCTGCCCCGGGGTGGGGGGCGGGGGGCGGCAGGTGTGGGAGCAGCCGCGCCCGCCCCGCCGTTCGGGCTCCCTCTGCCTCCACTTCCCCTTCCCTCCCTCGCTGGGAGACTGAACCCCGGGGGTGGAGACACGACCACAGGAAAATGAGGCTGGGCCCTCTTTGTTTTTAAAGACTTATTTATTTGAGAGGCAGTGAGAGACAGAGAGGGCTTCCATCCGCTGGTTCACTCCCCAGATGGCTGCAACAGCCAGGGCTGGGCCAGGCCGAAGCCAGGAGCCAGGAGCTTCTTCCAGGTCTCCCACAAGGGTGCAGGGGCCCAAGAACTTGGGCCATCTTCTACTGCTTTCCCAGGCCACAGCAGGGAGCAGATGTGGAGCAGCCGGGACTCGAACCGGCGCCCATGGCATCCTTATTCCAGATGGCTGCACATTCTGCCGGCCCCGGGCATGGATCTCGGAGGGGCCAGCTGGGCTTGGCGTTCCAGGATGAAGACCCCCAGTTCAACAAGAGTGGGGGGGCCGGGGTGGGCTCTGGGCGTCTCCCCCCCGAAGCCGAGGGGGTCTCAGTTGCTCCTCATGACCGTCCGGATCCAGTCCACGTATCTGCAGACCTTCGTGTACACACCCGGGACGCCTCTCTGCCCACAAGGCCCCACGGAGCCCCAGGACACCAGACCCTGGAGGACGCCCCCGCACACCAGAGGGCCCCCCGAGTCACCCTGGAAGACACAAGAGGGCGCTGGTGGAGCGGGAAATCGCCTTCCCGTCTCCTCCCCTCACCTGGGCCTGCAGGACGGTGCCCCACAGCCTGGCCATCGGCCTCCAAAGTAGCACAGCAGGGCGCCAGGCGACATCAGCCATGGCGGCCCCACAGGTCCCTGTCCCTAGACACACATCCCAGAGCAGGTGGGTGGGACTCCGGCAGGGTAGGAAGTTCTCTGACAACTACTGGGGCTCTGGCCAATGAGTGAAGAGAGTACCATCTTCAATGACCAATCCTAGGCAAGAAAGGTGGGACTTCATGGAACCTACAGGGTTCTCCCAAGGGCAATGGCTAGGGCTCTGGCCAATGAGTGAAGAATACTGTCTACAATGACCAATCCCAAGGGAGGAGGGTGGGACTTCTTAAGGCACATGGGATCTCTCAGGGAAAGTGGATAGGGCTCTGACCAATGAGTGAAGAGATTACTATTTGCAATGGCCAATCCCGGGGTTGGGGGGGCGGGACTTCACGAAGGTAGAGGGTTCTTGGGGACAATGGTGAGGTCCCTGCAGGACAGGGCAGAGCGGCCTCTTTGGCGACCCGAGAGGGCTAGGACAGGGCATCAGAGGATCTGAGCTCCCATCCTGGCCAGCTCCTGTTGTCCTCGCAGTCCCTGACCCCGGTCTGTGCCTCTCGCCCCAGCCTGCCCACCGCCATGCCCACTGTCACCTGCCCACCGCCCTGCCCACCGTCCCCCGCCCACCGCCCTGCCCGCCGTCCCCTGCCCACCGCTGTGCCCACTGTCCCTGCCCACCGCCCTGCCTGCCATCCCCCGCCCACCGCCATGCCCACCGTCCCCCGCCCACCGCCCTGACCGCCGTCCCCTGCCCACCGCCTACCCGCCGTCCCCGCCCGCTGCCTGCCCGCCGTCCCTGCCCGCCGCCTGCCCACCGTCCCTGCCCGCTCACCTGGCAGGCGTCCTTCCCTGCGACGCCGCCGGCGCACACCATGTTGTCCGTGATCCTCCCCGGGAACACGGCCTGGCAGGCGGCGTCCGACACGGTGGAGAGGTTGAGGCACTGGAGCCGGTCCGGGAATGGGCCTGGAGGGGAGACAGGCGCTGCAGAAGCCCCCGAAGCCGCCCTCTTCCAGGCCACCTCCCGCCTCCCGGGGCCCCTCCGTCCAAGCTGGCACCCCACCCTTTCACACCCCCCACCTCCACTGCAATCCTAAAACCTCAGGGTTTCACCTTTCTATGACCCCTTGACCTTTGACCTCTGACTTCCAGTGTCCTCACTCGACATCCTCCTTGTCTCTCCAACCTCAGATACAACGAATACGCACCTGACCTCCTTCAATCGGATACCGTGACCTTTGACCTTCGACCCTGTGACTCCAGCTGGCCCTGGGTCTTCTCTGTCTGCTGACCTCATGTCCCCGTCACTGGCCCCACCCCCAAGCTGTCTTTGGACCCCATTTTCCACCCATTTTTTGAAGAAACCTGCTATGCCTCTTGCTCCGGTCTGATGACCCCAACCTAATCTTGACCTCTGCCCGCACCCATGACCTCTGACCTCTGACCCCAGCCCCTGGTCCCCTTACTCCACGGCTGGTTGGTGGTGCCCCAGCCCGAGATGTGGCAGTCCGTGCCGGCGGTCACACAGGCGCTGGGCAGGGGCAGGGGCTGGACGCTGCGGGTCTGACGGACAGGCGTGCCCAGCCGTAGGAGCCGGAGGTCGTGCTCGTGGTTCTGCGGGGCTCCCCGGTACCCCGGGTGGGTCACAGAGAAGCCGCTGCGCCGGATCTGCTCCGTCCAGTCCAGCCGGCTGAGGCTGTGTTCCCCCAGGCGCACCCAGTACCTGCTGGGGTCGCGGGAGCGGCTGGCTCAGGGCAGGGCCCCTGGAGCACCCTCCCTCCCAGTCTGTCTTCCTGCACCTGCCACCTCTGATCCTCCCGCCCAGAGCAGGGGTTGCCAGTGCCGCTGACCACACAGTGCGTGGATAATGAGTGTCCCTCCCTGTCCCCACGTTCCTCTAAATCCCTTCCCCCCCCCCCAAAAAAAAATCCCAGCGGCTCAGATCTGGGAAGTCGGACCCCTCGTGGGCACAGGGGGCCAGTGAGGCTCAGAGAGACAATTTGTGAGGTCACACAGATTGCCTGGCCTGGGGCTGTGGAGGAGAGGGGACAGGGGGGAATGGGAGGGGGGAGAGGACACCCCCAGCCCTCCGCCCCCTGTGGCCTCAGAGCCTCCCCCGAGCCGGGGCTTACCTGCCACGGCAGTGCGCAGCCGTGAGGACCCACCTCCGGTCGATGAGGACGCCCCCACAGCGCAGGTGTGTGCCCTCAAACAGCCCCACCTGCCATGGCTGTGAGTGCGGAACACACTCCACGCCGTTCACGATCTTCTCCGTGTCTGCTTGGCTGAGACGCGGGGCCAGGGCTGTGGGCCAGAGACAGAGCTTGTGGGGTTGCAGAGGGGAAGCGGGGGGAGGGGAGAGAGCAAGAAGTGGCGGGGGGAGGTGGGAGAGGAAGAGGGGATGCAACAGCCCACGAAACACAGACGGAGATTCCTAGCGGTCAGACCAAGACACGGGGTGGGCGGAGAGACAGAGGGGGCATGGAGGAAGCCCCTCCCCTCTCAGCTGGGGGCAGAGGGCCAGAGCTGATGGGGGAGGGAGGGACGGGGCCCCAGCCCTGCCCTGTCCCTGCCCCAGACCACTCACCAAGCACACACAGGAGTAGGACGCTGGCACGCATGGTGTGGGCCCCCTCGGAGGTCTGGGGAAAGACGGGGCCTCAGCACTGCCCTTCGTGGCCGCCTGGCCTCTCTAGTTCCTCTCAAGGCCCCGGCCGCCAGCAGGTGGGGGGCCCTGGCCCAGCGTCCTCTCTGCCCAGGCCCTGTGTGCCACCCCCTTGTTTGCCGTCCGTCCACCCCCGCCTCACCTGGGCTCCTCGTCCACTGCCCGATCCTCTAGGTGTTACCGGTTCAGCCTGTCTCCGTGCCAGCTGCGAGGCCACCTACCTGCCTGCCCTTTCATCCGCCGGCCACCCTGCCACTCAGCTCTCCCACTGTCCACCTGCGTCCCCAGCACCTGTCATACCGCCCCGCCTGTCTGTCCCCTGCCTTCTGCCTGCCTGCCCCAGGCCCAGGGGCTGGCACGGCTTTTAACTCTCCGTGCACCAGCCCATCCAGGTTCCGGGTGGAGGGTAGGGGACGAGGAAGACAGGGCGGGGCTGGCTCTAATCCCCTAGGACTTGGCTCAGCTAATGAGACTTAATTGAGTACCCGCAGCTCAATGGGGGGTGGGGGAGGAAGACCCAGGCACACCCCCGTCCCCTCCTCTCCTTCCCCGGGACTGGTGGGTGACTCAAGGGGCACTGGGGACCTGGGTTCTAATCCTGACTCCAGTGACAAAGGCTCTGGGAGGGTGGGGCTGCCGCAGACACCTGGGGTTTGGGAGGGGCAGGAGAGGCTGTTGACAGCTGGGACAGTGGACATGAGGGGCGGGGATAGCAAGGGGGGAGGGAGCCCCCGGCCCCTGCAGAAAGAAGAGGAGTGGAAGCAACAGGTGGTGAGAGGAGACTGGGTTCCGAGGAGATCGGATTCCGATTCTGCCCTGCCTCAGTTTCCACGTCTTCGAGGCTCTCCATGCCCTGGGCAGCTCCTGTGTCCAGGCGACTGAGTTCCCTCTGGATAGCAGCCTTGTAATGAGGCCGAGCGGAAAGGCTTTGACACTGCAATGTGCAAGCTCTGGGGGCTCCCTGGAGGAGGAGGCCCGGGGTGGGGTCAGAACTCAGGCTAAGAGTCAGTCCTGACCCCCTGTTGGGCCTTATTCCAGCTGCCAAAAGCAAGGGTTGGCTTTATCCAGAAACTACACAGCGGCAGACTGTGGTCCCAAGAGGGTTACCACCCCTGCTCCCTGCGGCCCTGGGCGACCACGCGTTCTGTTCCTGCTCTGTGCCTGACCTGAGTGTTTTCTACAGATGAAACTGTGCTCCGTGTGTCCATTGTGCCCACTGGGTTGTCAGCGTAGACCCAGGCTGCACCCCTCGGCGCCTCCAGGGGCCCAGGCACTCGGGCCGTCGTCCGCTGCTGTCCCAGGCGCATTCGCAGGGAGCTAGATGGGAAGTGGAGCAGCCGGGGCTCGAACCAGAACTCCGCTATGGGGTGTGGATGTCGGTGAGGCGGGAGGTGGCCTGGCCCGCTGGGAGTGCACGTTCTGTCGTTAGCCAAACACGAGGACACGTCCAGGAGTGGAAGACGCAATTCAAAGATCCATTCATTTTTTGGAATTCATGCAAACAAGGGGGTCTTTGAATGTTCATGAAAATACTATACATAGTCTTTAGTTTTTTTTTTTTTTATTTTTTTTTTTTTTTTATTTTTGCGCCAAAATAATGTTACCTTTTAGTTCTTGTAAACTGTGGGAAGCAACCTTGTAGCTTTTGGAATCCGACAGTTCTGGGGTTGAAACCTCCGGAGGCCGCTGGGCCACTCTCTCCCTGGCCTCGGTTTGTGCATCTGAGAAATGGGGACAAGCAGGGGTGGGGCTAAAGACCTGCACGCCGCTTCCTCCCTGGAACATCAAGAAGGCAAAGATGGATGAGCATGCGAAGTGGCTGGGTGCACACACCGCCAGGGTAGCCCTCAGCGGCTTATTTATGCAGAAAGAAGGGATTTGGGGCCGGCGCTGTGGGGCAGCAGGTGAAGCCACCGCCTGCAACGTCATCATCCCCTGTGGGCGCCGGTTCCAGTCTCGGCTGCTCCACTTCCGGTCCAGCTCCCGGCTGATGGCCTGGGAGAGCAGCAGAGGATGGCCCAGGCGCTTGGGCCCCTGCACCCATGCGGGAGACCCAGATGGAGCTCCTGGCTTCAGCCTGGCCCAGCCCTGGCTTTTGTGGCCATTTGGGGAACAAAGCAGTGAATAGAAGACCCCCCTCCACCTCCTTTCGTTCCTTCTCTGCGTGTGCTGCCCACCCCGGCGGTCACCCCTGCCCGCCTCTCAGCCTCTCGGTCCCACTGGGCACGGCCGACGCTCTCCTTCCCGCCCCAGCGCCTTCCTCTGCCGGCTTCCCCGCGCCCTGCGGTTTTGACTTCTTCCTCCTTCCCAGCTCCCTGGGGTGAATAAGCTGTTTTCCCTGCACTGCCGCCTTTATAAACAAAGGCTTTGCCAGGGCCCCGGCTCAGCCTCGTCCTGTCTGCGCCACAGGTTCTCCCAGGCGATGGCACACAGCCGTGGTCAGGTGCAGGACAGCACCCGAGCCTGTGCGCCCCACAGCCCCAGAGCCCCTGACACTGTTGGGGCTCGAAGACGATCCCATAAAATGCAATGCAACCTTGGCCGTATGGCGGCGGCTTTGGACCAAGGTGGGATGCGGGTGCTGTGCACATGTTCACGCCTCCACCACGCCCACCGCAGGCGGCGCGGGCTCCCTAGGCTGAGGGGTGCATGGGCAGGGAAGGGCTCGGGGTTTTGTGGGGGTCGCGTGGTTTGGAGAGGGAGCCCTGACTGGGATTTCCCTTACCTGCTTGCCCCTTGAGGATGCACGGGACAGGGCGAGGTCAGGGCTGTCGGGCTTGGAGATAACCCACCTTCCACGCACGCGCAGGCGACGACCGAAGGGGGCCACGTTCCGTGCTTGGACTTTGATTCCACACTTCTGGCGCTCTCTGGGGCCTCAGAAGGTGGACGTCCCGGGTCAGGCCCCGGCACCCCGCGTTCTGAGACGTGAAACCAGGGTCCCCGCCGAGGGGGACTCCCAAGGGCAAAGGCAGGGATTGGGCGAGCTGTCAGCAGGTGCATCTGGGAGGCGAGACGCCTCCACTGGCCAGGACCAGAGGCCGAGTGTCTCGAGGATCTTGGAGAGTGTGCACCTGTCACCCGTGACCTGGGCAAGAGGACTTCCTGCAGCTCAGCGGGCTGCGCTGGCCTCGTTCCCGATCCCCGGGCATTCTGGGTAAGGGCTGGAATGGAGCCGCTTCCAGAATGTTCCATCGAGAAGCCTGCGGACTCCCGTGGCTGTTCACCGGCTCAGTCCCAGGTCGCCAGGGGATCTGGGAAAGGGATGATGTCTTCCAGCACCTGGGCACCTGGCGAGGGGTGGGGCGTAGGGATGGCGCCCTCTCCTGCATGTGGGGTCTATGATGGGGCTGGGGTCTGGCTCCATCCTGCACTAAGAGGGCCTCCCGTAGGGCAGGGGTCTGGCTGGCTGGCAGTTAAGACGTTGGCTCGCAGCCCCGTGCCCCATATCTGGGCGTCTGCTCCTGACCCCAGCTTCCAGCTCATGCAGACCCTGGGAGGCAGCAGTGAAGGCTCAAGTTCTTGGGTCCCTGCCACCACGTGGGGGAGCTGGTAGTGTCCCAGGGGTGGGTAGGGGGCTGCTGAAGGCATTTGGGGTGTGAACCAGTGAATGGGAGATCTCTGTCTGCTTGGCTGTCTCCCTTGGAAAGAAAAGGAGGGAAAGGAAGAAAGGGAGGGAGGGAGAGAGGAAGGGAGAGAGGGAGAGAGGGAGAGAGGGAGAGAGGGAGGGAGGAGGAAGGGAGAGAGGGAGAGAGGGAGGGAGGAGGAAGGGAGAGAGAGAGAAGCTTCCAAGCTTCCAGTCAAGCTGAGCTCTGTGGATGCTGCTTGCAGGACTCAAGGCATCATGGGTAACTGGGTGCTGAGGCTCAGACCCTGGGCTTGCAGGGTGTGGGACCCGGGCGCCCTCTCCAAGGGCATGTGGTGGGGGTCGGAGACGAGCAAGCTCATGCATCAAGTCCCTGGGCAGTGACGGCCATCATGGGTGGTCCACGGCCTCCAGGAAGGAGGCTGGCAAAGGAGTCGGCGGGGAGGGGTCAGACCTGTTGGGAGTGCCTGCCGTGTGGCCATGCGGGCAGGTTCTGGAAGCTTCTGTCGGCTGGGTCCCCGCTCAAGCCGGCGTGATTGTGAGAAACAGCTTGTGTGTACTGAGGTGAAGTTTAGGGATGAGGGACGTTACCCCCAGGACTCAGAGCGTCAAAGGCAGGGGGTGGTCCTCACGCTACCCAGTGGTTCTCGGGGGCTCAGTGGAAGTCCAGGACCTCGTGCTCTGTGTGGGAGGTCCTTTGTGTCTGCACGCCCCCGGAGCCTTGCTCATAGACTCCCTCCATCCAGGGCGCAGGCCACATCCGCGCGATGTCGCACCTGTGCTATCGGACAGAGTCACGTGCACTTGGGAAGGGGCCTGTGTTGGGACGCAGAGCACAAGACCCCGACGTGCGGGGCTCTGGCACAGAGAATGGCCACGCGCTGTCGGAGAACCCACGTGGGCTTCTCTGTGCTCGTGCAGACCGGACGGAGCAGGTCGGTCGCTCTCGGAGCAGCATCGCGATGCGCGGTTCCGTGATAAACTCTTCCTGGAAAGCAGGTAGGAGGAGACTGTGCGGGAGCAGAAAGCACAGCAGAGCAGACACAGACGCCAGCGACGGGCATTTGTTACCAAGGACCACACACGGTGCGTCGTCCTGGAGTCGCGTCTTGGCGCAACCTGCAGTGCCATGGGCTCGTGCACAAGCGTGCGATGACAGCTGCGTCACCGTGGCTCTGCTGCCATCAATAGGGACCAGCGCTGGGGTTGCCACTGGCAGTGCCCGGCTGCACTCTGAGCTGAAGGAGACTGGGAAGGGGCTGAAACCAAGCAGGGTCCTCTCGCCTCCCCCTACTCCCTCTCCTTCCCCTGCTGCACCCCGGAGCTGGTCATAGGAACCAGCGCTCCTGCCCCTTTAAGCAAACCAGGGAAGCTGCTACCCTCTGCCCCAGAAGACTCGCCTGCAACAGGGGTCCCGCCCCATCCCTGGAGGGAGGACTATCTCACAGAGAGGCCACGAGGCATCTCCATGGACGGGTCCGGCAGGTCCCCTCACTTCGTTGCCACTGGATCACACCCTGTGGTCCAACCACGTTGCCATACCGCTGTCCATTCGGCGTGGAACTCAAACAGGAAAGCAGTTTTCTCTGGGTCTTCACTTTTTTTTTAAAAAAAGATTTATTTGAAAGAGTTACAGAGAGCTGGAGAGAGAAAGAGATTTTCCATTCTCTGGGTTCACTCCCCAAATGGCCACAGTGGCCAGGGCTGGGCCAGGGTGAAGCCAAGAGCCCAGTATTCCATCCAGGTC